TTTCTCATCCGTGCATCAATCCATCATCATCTCGGGGGTCCTAGGTACTCACCATGCGCCTCCAATAGCCACAAGCTCTACAAATATGTGAAAATATCTACAAAACAAGCACGTGTAATACCTTTCCAACAAATAGAGAATTAAAGCACAAATATGCGATTTGTACACCAATAACGCAATGACTAAGCTCTAGATACTCAATAAATATGGTATAAAATCACACATGAACAAACCCCCAAACTTAAACCATTGATAGTCCCGATCAATGCATCAAACTCATACCAACACACAAATAGAAGTAATCACACTTTCAAAGTCAATCATACACATCATCAATAGGCATCGGGCAAGTAACATGACCAAGTTCTGGAATTTTTAAACTTAAAGAATGCTTCAACAAAATCATGGTCAATGCTTTAATTCACAAACCTCACCGGATAAGTGTATACTCTCACTCTCAAAAGTGTATAGGGAAATAATCGCTCAAGTCAATTCAATGTTGAAAAATTACCATAAGCTTGCAAATCGTCAAATATCTCCACCACTTATTGTGCATGCAATTCATGAATCAAAAAGGACTTTCATTCGGTTGTAATATAGGCTCTTTGGTTAGGGTAGGAAAAATATGGATAAAGTGACGAAAACTTGAGCATCTAGAACTACAAAACATGAACTACACCACTTCATCACCCATCATTCATGATCAAACTCAACAAAATCATTCCATAACCCATTTTCGATCAATACTCGCAAGCCGTAAAAGAAAATTCAACACTCAAACCCAACCGTCCTTTATTCAAGTCAATAATAAAATAGAAACAACTATACAAACGTGTCTCTCTTTTTTTTTTCTTTTTTCATTTTTCTTTTTTTTTTTTACAGCCTTTTTACAGCTATATTTTTTTTCTTTTTTCTTTTTTTCAATACCATTCAACTTCCACCATCAAATTATACCTCATTCATGTCTTCCCTCTATCCAAACCACAAACAATAACTCATCCTCGTCACATAATATAGTCCTAAATGCTCAAGTAAGGACAAGGAAAATAATAGATGTAGCTCAATATGTGGCATTCAAAGAAAATAGGCAAAAGCTCAAAAGGGTTAACTAGGGAATAAAAATATCATTTGGTAAGCTAAACGGTTCAAAAGGCTCAAACAAAAATATGCCTTATATCATTTTCACGAATAGCACACACCCTGTGGTCTCGATAAAGATACCAATGCAAGTTCTAGAATTCAAACAACAATGAATGATACACTCAACACAAAAAAAAATAAGGCTCAAAAGCTCACAAAGGATCATATATTCATGAATTAAAAGCATTAACCAATCATTCAAATTCACAATTCCATCAATTCTCAAATTCCATCACTTAGCACATTATACTCGAATTATATATCAAATATGCACAAGAAACTCATCAAGTTGGATCAAAGTCAACCAACTACAACTACTCAAATCCTAAGAAAGCAATAAACGTGCTAAAGCGATAAAACCTAACATGCAACTAAATGATATGCAAAGATAATGCAAGATATCTTGTTATCTTCTCTCTAAAATTCTCAAATCAAAATACCACATCTCCCCCCCAAACTTGAATGAAATTATATGAAGCACAAAAGGGAAGAATAGAATTTCAACAAAAGAAAAATAGAGAAAACTTACAAAACATCATTGAAGAGACGACAAATTGCTAGTATAGATCTCGAAGCATGTCCTTCGTCATGTAAATCTCTCCATGGAATGTTCTGCAAAGAAGAAAAACAAAATATCAAACAAAAAAAAAACAAAACTAACTAAAAAAATGAAAAAAAATAAAATAAAATAAAAAAATAAAGCAGTAAACATTGGGTTGCCTCCCAACAAGCGCTAAGTTTAACGTCTTCAGCCAGACGCCTATGAAGTTAGATCAAGAGTTCTTCAAATCAATGTAGGACTGTCCATGGACTGAAAATGTCGCTTTGTTTTGTGCAATCAACTCCAACACTGTCGGTGGCCGCACCTTCTTGATCACGAACGACCTCAAGAATCTCGGCTTTAACCTTTTAAGAAATAGATTTGATCCCCACGTATGTTCCTTTTTGTAAAACTTCTCTTCATGCCACTTCTTCTTCTTTTTCTTGTAAGTTCTCGAACTCTCATTGCAAACATCTCGCCCGTCCAGCTCATTAAGCTTGAAAAGCTTCACCTTACTCACCAAAGACAAAAGGGTACCACCCACATATTCATACTCCTTAGGGTCAGACAGACTTTTTAGATCCAGAATGGGTGGTTTCAACTTCGAAAGGCTCAATTGGGATGAAATAAACGTTGGCAGAACATCTGACACGGCCTCTGACACGGGCCGTGCTTGATGGTCCGGGTCGTGTCGTCGTCCGTGCTCCAAAAGACGTACCTGGGCACCTGACACGGGCCGTGTCGCAGGCCGTGTCGCATCCCAAAAATCTGATCTTCTCCCAGGTCTCTGACACGGTCACCTGACACGGGCATAGTGCCCGTGTCACTGCCCGTGTCAGCTCTGTGCGACTTAGTTTCAACTCCGATTTTCTCCGTTTTGCTCTCTGACT